TGAAGCAATGTCTCCCGGGCAGGAGGGCTTTTACCCCATGGCCCTCCCAAGCTTGCCTCCCTGCCTCTGCCCCTGCCTCCCTACCCGTGGATGCGATGCTGTCAGTGTTTTTAGTCCTTCCCTTAATATTATTTTTTAAAGGTTGATATCCTGAATGAGTCTGCACCCTCCCAGCCTCTCCCCGGCTCGTTCTGCAGGGAGATCCTCCCTCTGTTGATAACATCGCAAACCTGGTGGCCATCTGTGCGTGGACAGGACCCTCCCAAATTTAGCATTATGGCTTCACTACAGGACCGAGAGAAGATGAATTGTGGGGGAGAAGGGGCTTCCTTTGTCATCAGTAGCCAGAGGGGCCGGGAGAGCTGTGGAGTGACCTGGGACCGGCTTGGACGCTCTAAGCTGGGCTAGATGCACTACGACAGAGTGTGGCGGTGTCCTGCCTCAACGCCGGCATCTCCAGAGCCACCGCAGACCTGCCTGTCCTTGCTGGGCAGTGCCCGGGACCTCAGCAGATAAACCGCACCCTGGACTGGCCACCTCCTCCGGGAGGTGGCCCCGGCACCGCTGTGCCCGGAAAAGCAGCGGGGTAGAAGGCAGATGCCTCGCATCCAGGTGTCCCCTAGCCCGGCCTTCCTGCGGAGCTGAGGATCCCGCACCACGCGGCGGGATTATTTATTTTTATTTAAGTGACCCTCCTAAGGCCCTTAGGTTTCCCTGCCTCCTGTCACAGAGCTAGCCCGGCCTGGTGTCACTGCCGCCTCCAAGCTGTGGCGGGGTCGCGTGTGTGTCGGGGGGCCATCTTGCCGATTTAACACTGCTTTTTGTGTTGTTGTTGTTTTCCCCTCCTCCCTGCCTGCCTGCCCCTTCCCCAGCGAGGACGGTGTCGTGGAGAGGTCCAGCCCCAAGTCTGAGATTGAGGTCATTTCTGAGCCACCTGAAGAAAAGGTGACAGCCAGAGCGGGGGCCAGCTGTCCCAGTGGGGGTCATGTAGCCGATATTTATCTTGCAAACATCAACAAGTAAGCTCTGCTTTTCATTTTCTGCTCCCTGAATGCCCTGCAACGCCCAGCCTCCCCCTCCGGCCTCACCCCCTCTCCATTCCTGTGCTGCGTAGGGCTCCCAGCCCCTGGGCCTAACACTCTGCATGCGCTCACTGCTGCCGCAAGGCGGACAGGGCTGAGGAAGCTTCCGTGGGCCTTGCGGGCAGGTCCCGGGCTCCAGCGGGCTGCTGTCGTGCTATGGAAGGGTGCCCCACGCTGGGTTTCCACAGCATCTGTCGGGTCGGGCCTCCCCGTCTGTCTGACCACTAAAACCTGGCCAAAGCTTTGGTCACATTCTGCAACTTGGTTTTGGACTGTTTCTCGGAGGTGCCTTCTCTTTTCCGATTCTTGCTCAAATAATAGTCTTTGACGTCTTCCTGGCCCTTGTCTGTCCAAAGAGCCAACATCCTGTGTGTCTTCCACTAGGCTCACGTGACCCCAGAGGGGTTTATGTAGATACCATGTGTCTCTCACCGTGTCCTGCATTCACCCTGTGGAGGAAAGGAGGCCACTCTGCCCCCCAAGGAAAGCTTCGTCCTGAGCTCTTTATTCATTGCCTAACCCCCCAGCTCCCTTCTGCCCCTTCATACCAGTGGAAGGAATTGTCCATGTTTTCCCTGTTGCTTTAGCCCTGTGTCATCCTCCCCTATCAGTCCCTTTGCAGATTCCCATTCCTGTCCGGCAGGCTCTTAACTCTGCCCCCCCAGCTTTCATTGTGGCTGTGAGCAGCATCCCAAGGGTTTTCACTCCGCCCACACCCGATCTGGCCGGCTGGAGGGATTCCACGCCTGTGTGCTGCTGCCTCCCCTAGAGACATTCAGGTTATTGGAGAACTAATCTCATCTCAAGGGGCCAGACACCAAGTCCCAAAGCCTACAGACCTCTTTCCGCCAGACCCTGAAACTTGGCCCCGTGCCAGCGGGATGACGCGCCCCAGGGTGTTCCTGATGAATGTGGATTGCAGATGATGTACAGTTTTTATTCCCCTCTGGCTTTGGAGGAATGAAATGATCTGCACATTGAAAACCTGTTCACCGTAGCCTCTGGACACTGAAACTGGAAGGAGAATAAAAGATGCTTGTTGTTTTTAAACCGCACCAGGTCGCCCCGATCTCTTGGCTTTTTTCCAACCAGACGGTAGCAGGGGGCGTGGTTGGGGCACGTGTCTCTTTTCCATCTCTTTCGCCCTCCAGTTAGTGAAGTCGCTGATTCAGCTCACGGAGGGTAGGTATGATTTAAGTCAGACCAGTAAAAAGGATTGAGGATTTTATCTATTTCCCTCCAGCAAGTGGTGCCCTGCTGGGAGGGCAAGCTAGTAAAAAGTAACTGGGCTCATCACATTTTTTTTTCTTTATTTACAAGTCTATGTTAATTATAAGCCTGTAATCATAAGGTTGTAAGCCTGTAATTAGCCCACAAACCAAGGCAGGGTTGGTGGAGGGAGAGTTAAATAATTAGTTAGGTACATGTTTCTAAGCCATCACGTATTTGATGCCATTTGTACAAAGAAATTGTAGAAGATATGAGCCGAAACAGTCAGAAGATGAACGCCTGGTGGAAAGTCAGGCGGTTCCCTTTGAACTGCTTACTTGGCCATGTCAGGATGGGGTGCTCAGAGGACATGGCCGACCGGGACACCCGCTGGTCGCTGGTCGGTGGCTGAGTGGCGGCTCCCGGGCGTGTCTTGCCCTTAGCAGTGACTCTGCCCTTCCAGCCTCACTTCCTGCCCCATATGTCACTCCTTCCAAGGGCCCCGAGTTCTCTCGCACCCCCGGACCTTCACATCTGCTGCCTCCTCACCCGATCATCTCCCCCTCTCCCTTCAGGACGTAGTCTGAAGATTTTACTTCTCCGGGGAAGCCCTCTGACAACCCCGAGGTCCTCAGGGCTGAGTCAGATGCCCTTAGTCTGTATTCCCACAGCAGTCCGAGTATCTCTCATGACCCGAAATGCGCTCAGATCCCCCACCAGCCTGAGCATCTTGAAACCAGGAAATCTGCCTTCCTCTCCTCGTGTCCCCGGGGCCCGGTGAGGGACCTGGCACACACCAGCCAGTCCACAATCTGCCTCCTCAGCAGTTTGAGCTTTGTGAGTCAGCCACCCTCAAGTGGAAAAAGGAAATCAGCAAAGAGTTACTCGGGTGAGGCATTCAATTTAATTCCACACGTTTAGTGAGCGGCTACTGTTGTGCCAAGCATCCGTGCTGGTTGTTCAGAGATGAATAAGACAGTGCCTGGCCTCGGCGCTCAGTCTGGCAAGGTAAATACCATACAGACAGGTAGCTAAAAAGGCAGTGCCATCGAAGCTCTGAGGGAACAAAGGAGGGAGTGATTGCTTCTGCCTGCTGTTGGAGGTGGGGTCGTGGGAGGAGACTTTGCAGAGGAAGAGTCGTTTCAGCTGAGCCTCATAAGACTCCCAGAACATCCTTTTTCTGCTCCAGAGTGGCTGATACCCAAGGCTAAAACTGCTTGAGCCGGCAGCTTCATGGAGTGGCTCCCGTATGCCAGCTTCCACACCAAACCCCTATAGAAAAGACCTGACCAGTGGGCAGGACCAGGACGGGCTTAGAACACCGGCTCGGCCACACAGACGAGCCCTTTAGCCTCAGGACCTTCCCTTCCCTTCTTCCATCTCCTCTCCTGCCTCAGCCTCCGTTGCCCTTAGTGGATTCAAGATCAGAACTGCCCAGCTGCCATCCCAAACCCGAAGTTGTATTGCTTCCTAAGTTAGGTCCTCAAGAATCTGATTCCAAGAACAAATGAAATTATTCAGCAGTAGGCAACACCCATGCTCTTAGGACTCTGCCAGGCTGTCTTCTTTGAGAGTCTGCGTGGTCTGAAGGGAATCGGCCGAGAGCCAGGGTTCAGCCCAGGGCTGGGTGACTCAGGGTCACGGAGATGTATTTCCACCCTGAGGAAAAGCACAAACTTGGCCCTAACTCCTCAGCACTGAAGCCTCTTGAAAAATATTCTGTTCCCTGTCTGCACGAGAAGCAACGACAACCACTTGCCAGAGGCCAAAATGATTACAGTCTTGTCGTTGGACTAAGAAACATGCTAGAATTTGGAAAAATCAACTCTCCTCTTGCCTTCTTGGTGATGGCAAGACTTTCTCTCCTACCGGGGCCTTAGGTCTCTGTTCAAAGCAGGTAATGGAGGGGGCCTTTCTGTGAATCTGTCTCCCATTAGAAACTTTCACTTAATCAGACATTTTTCCTGGCAGCACCTTACATCTCGAGAACTCAAAGCCCACGACCTCCAAGTAAGTATCCGTTTCTCCTTTGCCCAGGTTGGGGGTGGCAGGGGAACAGAGACACAGAACGAGCAAGGGAAGGTGAAGCCAAGGAGACAACATGCTGCGTGTCCCTCTCCTTCCAGAAGTCCCCGGGTGCCAACATCGGCCCTCTCTCACCCGTCCCAGCTTTCTCAGGGCCAGGGCTCCCCGATCACACCGCCCTTTCTGTTTGTGATTGAAGGCAAAGGAAGCGGCCAGAATCTGGGAGCATCCGGAAAACATTTCGGAGCGACAGCCATGGGCTGAGCAGTTCCCTGACTGACTCTGCCTCCCCGGGGGTGGGGGCTGGCTGCCGCCCATCTTCCCAGCCCATCATGAGCCAGAGTCTCCCCAAGGAAGGGCCAGATAAGTGTTCCATCAGTGGGCATGGGAGCCTCAACTCCATCAGCCGCCATTCGTCCCTGAAGAATCGGCTGGACAGTCCACAGATCCGGAAAACGGTGACAGCAGGAAGGTCAAAGAGCTTCAATAACCATCGGCCTGTGGACCCTGAGGTCATTGCACAGGTAACTGGGGGCACCTGGACACGCTGCTGGTTTGCCCACGCTTGTCACTACTGCTTCATGAGCCCGCATCCGTTACGACGGGCCTTGAAACAGTGGAGTTCATCCGTCACCCACAGAGTTCAGAGGCTGCTGGACATCTGGGCCCGAAAAGGCAGCTTTCGAAGCAGTTTGTCTGTCTCTCTCTCTCCCCAAGAAGAAGATTTCAAGCAGAATAAAAGAATTCAGACTTCTTGTCATGCACAGGCTATTTGCAAGAGTGTTGTACTTTTTAAAGTGAATAGTTAGAGAATATTTTGATAGAGGCCACCCTGCCCAAATTTCGGGTCTTGAGAGGCTGGTAGGCTTTGTGAAGCTGCCCAAGTGTTGAGGCTCAGACGTAGTTCTGGCCGTAATTTTTTTATCACCCTTCCCACCCCCATCTCCCATTTCCTGAGGCCGACCTCTGGTCCTTAGTGGGAGGCAGACGATCAGTCAACAATCTGCTCCTGGTCTTGTCGGCTTCAAACACTCCGCCGCGGGGGGCTCGGGTATCAGAAGGGTTTCCGGCCCACGTCTCCCGATGCAGTGGAGATGAGCTCCCTGGTTACGGGGCCCTCCTTCCACGTGTGTACCACACTGACGAGTCTCTGTTTTCCGTGAAATATTAGCGATCCAGCCCCACCTCTAAAAATCCGACTACCGGGGCCGCTCCAAGCAATTCATTCAGACGCCTCTCCCAACTCTATAATTTTCATTAGACCAGGTAGGAGCTGAGGGCTCCCTGTTGCCCTTTTACGTTTCCTCTGAGTTGAGATTCTCCTCACCCTATCTTCCAGGGGGCAGTAGAGGCTGTGTATGGTCTCTCTTGGCTTACCTGTGATGCTCTGCTTAGGGAAGGTGTGCCTGGCCAACACCGTAGTAAGCTACAGGCCTCAGATTTCTTGCTTTGCTAGCCCTCTATTTCTGTGCCTCTACTTCAGCTCTTGGCCGCGATCTGCCTTGCACCGTGGGAATCCTCCCAGCTGCCTCCTGAGCCAGGTGCTAATAGGAATGTTAGAATAGGTGCACAGCTGGTGCAGACTCTAGCTATAAAGCAGGACTGAGGAGGGAGATGGTGGAGTTCTTCCTGAGCATTTTGAAGGTTTGAGAACATCAGAGGGATGAGTGAAATTGAATTACTGTCAACAGAAAGCACAGATCGCCCCTAGGGTCAAGACGCCTTAACCAGGGCCTTTGCTTGGAACATGTCATCTTTCGATGTGAGCCTGATTCCAGGGGGGAACCCTGTGGCGGTCTGGGATTCCAGACACAGTGTGTGGAGAGGTTAGGAGCGGGGAGGGAGCTGGGAGGTCTCCCCGAGGGGCAGCTGGCTGTGGACAAAGGATCTTTGGTTCTATTATTTCCTGAGATCTGGGGTGTTCCGCTGTGACTTGCTGGAGGTAATTCGCCTGCGTGGGCTCTGGCTTCCCCTCCTGGTCACTCTTTGGTCCCCTCTCATGGTGACGGGTCGAAGGAAATGGCTTCCTCAAGTTGGGCACTCCAGTGGGGTGGGGTAGGGCACAGGGAGGTGTCCTGATGAATCTTCAAGGCCAGGGTACCTTTCTAAAGCCCTTGGCCCTTCTTAACTTTTGGCTTTGAAGTCCAAGAAAACAAATATCATACTTCATCCCTCCCACTTTGTAAAAAGTCGTTAATTATGCACAGTTTCAAATATATACAAAAGTGGAGAGAATTGGGTAGCAAATCCCTTGTAACCATGACCAAACTCCTGGCCACTCTTAGTTCATCTGTCTTTCCCCTTCCCTCTGGATCACCTGTCATTTCGCCCAGAAGTATTTCAGTGCCATATCTCTAAAACTTGAGGACTCTATTTAAAATAACATCTCCGCCATTCTTTTCTAAAGGGGGGAAAAAAATGTCATGATAATGAAAATCCCTTTTTTCTCCTACCCCAACATTCTGAGCATCGGTGTGTTCGAGGATTTTGGCCAAGTGAAATAACCTGGACATCTCCCTCCAGTTGCTTTCTTCATGATTTGGCCTGTGCCGTTGAAATAGGATTCCTGGGGACTTCTCCCGACATGTGCCTCACCTCCTCCTTTTTCCTATTTTGCAGGATATTGAGGCAACTATGAACTCTGCCCTGAATGAGCTGCGGGAGCTAGAGCGGCAGAGCAGTGTCAAGCACACCCCCGATGTGGTTCTGGACACCTTGGAGCCCCTCAAAACCTCCCCAGTGGTGGCCCCCACATCGGAGCCCTCCAGTCCCCTGCACACCCAGCTCCTCAAGGACCCTGAGCCCGCCTTCCAGCGCAGTGCCAGTACTGCTGGGGACATCGCCTGCGCCTTCCGGCCCGTCAAGTCTATCAAGATGGCCGCCCCAGTCAAGCCGCCAGCCACGCGACCCAAGCCCACTGTCTTCCCCAAAACAAATGCCACTAGCCCTGGTGTCAACTCATCATCTTCCTCACAGTCCACTGACAAGTCTTGTACTGTCTGAAGGATGTAATTTAATTGTTCTAGACAAAGGGACTGGAGGGACTATTATTAAAAATCTTCCTATTTAACTAGCTTGGGGACTTCAGTTGAAAATTAGATTCTAAGTTGTTCTTGCAGGAATTAGCCTTCCCGTCACCCAAAACCTTGAGAATGAAGCCCTCGTTACCACCCCGCCCTGCCCTTCCCACCGCCCTCTGCTTCCCCCCGTTGTCGTAATCCAGCCAGCTGCAGTACATACTGTTCTTAGGTTAGCCAGAGTTAGAGTTTTCCATTATCAGGTCACTGTGAAATCTGGCAAGGCGAGTCATGAGGACACGGGCTCAAGTCTCTGTCCCCTTAGACACAGGGGATGCCTGACCAGATGGTTGGCTACCAACAGCCAGCTCTCAGTGGCATCTTGTTTTGGGTACTGATTATAGAGAACCATATATAGTCCATTCTTCGTTTTACACACACACACACACACACACACACACACACACACACACACACACACACACACACACACACACCACAACACACGTTTTTCTAGTCTCTGGCATGTGTAGCCCTCTCCTGGTCTAGACCAGTCTCTTTGTAAGTTATTGTGGCAGTTCACACAACAGCCACCAGGGGTCTCTGTTTCCGTTACAAATCTTGTTCTGTCTGGGCCAGAGAACCTAGCCTTTGAAATCTCTCCATCATAAAAAACTGAGCAGGATGAGACCCGATCCTGTAATCTGTTTGGGGTTGGGGCTTTCTCTCTGTCTTCACTCGATTGGTGTGAATTGGTCATTGGTGTTTGCTTTTGCTCTCCTCCATCCTCTAGAAATACAGCCCAATCTTTTTATAGAACTTCTAAAGTTTTTCTGAATGTATAGACATTTCTCGAGTTCCTGTATTTGTCTCTGATGGACCATTTTCCATTTAAGACATTTTCCTGTATAATACAGTTTTATAGCTGATATCTTTTAGGGTAAAGAGTCTTTTGAGAGAGTTATTGTGTTTAAGGCAGGTTTGGAAAAGGTGAGAAATGGGCCCTTCTTCCTCACACTTACTTTGGACACTTAAGACAAAATTCATGATCCTATTCAAAAATTAAAATCGGCTTTGCTAGCCCCCAAATTGTTCCTGAACGAAAACATATCCTAAGTTCTCCTCCCCCCCACCCCGCCCCCCAGTTTGGTTATTCTACAAGATCTCTCTTCAGGGACCAACAAGGGCTTGGAGAGCCCTGGTTAGATTAAAGAGAGACATTACTCCTTAAAACCTGTTTTCTTTTATCCAAATAAAGACAACCAAGAGAGCTTTGGCCCCATGGGCTCTAAGGTCTTCCCGAGGCTGGAATCTAACAAAATAGATAATTGATGCTGAGTATGTTGGCCTTCCTTTGGCCTTTCTTCTGGTTCTTCTCCAAAAAGCAGAAATGGTATCTATCCTTGCATACTTTAATCTGGTCTCCAAACCTGGTGCCCCCGGTTCTGGCCCCCCTAGCTTCACGCTCTCCTAGCAGTACCAGGGCTGAGGACAGTCACACCCAGGTTCATGAGTCTCAGACAGATACTTGAGCTAAAGCTAAAGCTCATTCCTCTTCTCTGTTTTCTGCTTTTAAAGCCACACTTTTAGCCTTATTTTCCATAGGTCAGGAGAGGTGGTGGGTTGCCATTCAGATAGGAAAATCTGAGTTTCCTTATGTTTAGCCTAGAAGATTCTTTTTGGACCAACATTTTGAAGTTGGCAGTTGGTGGTGCAGGAAGTGGTAGGATTTTCCTCATTCTGTGTGAAGGAGAGCTTTGTGGGAAATCGCTAATTATTGGAGAGATAACCTGCAACCCCAGGAAAACTATCCCAAGAGCTAGAAAGGAGAAATGAAGAGCTCCTTGAGTAAAGCGAGTCAGTCTGTGAGAGGTAACCCACGGTCCTCTGCATTCTTGGGTTTCGTTGCTGGGTTTCGTGGCCTGTCCTCGCCTATCACCTGGACTCACGCAGGTCTTAAGCCAACAGGGGCTTCCATAGAAAGCAAGGATCTGTTTCCTTGATGAGCATGGAACCCCCACCCTTCACTTTACATTCCTTTTTGATCCAACTGATCAGAATCGGTACCCATACCTGCCCTTTCCCCCTCCCTCCAGCACACCCCTGTCTGAGAAAGGAAGAGCGAAGCTTTCTTAATGGCAAAGCTTTGGGCCTGTTCTGTTGTTCCTGCCTGATTTCTCTTGCAGCCCTCGGACATGACTTGTGTCCACCATCCCCTTGGTCAGTGTCCATCTGATCTGCATCATGAACTAGACGGTGTGTGAGTGGCCACCTACGACCCCCAGCTCTGGGAGCCAAGTTGTCCTCCCCTCTCTGGTGCTCCTGACACCTGTGAGATGGACCTGTCCAGGGGACTAGGAACCCACGGAAGGAACGTCCTCGGCAGAGCTCCTTGCGATCAACTGGAATTGAGGTTGTACACTGTGATGTTTACACCGAGAAGCCAAAAGGAGCTGGCCATCCAGGGCCTAGGGAGACCAGTCTTCCTCCGATCTGCTTGCCTAAACCAGCATGATGCTTCAGAGAGCCCCACTCTGCCCCTTGAGGCATGGATCCTTCTCTTGGCGTGGACTCTGATGGGTCAGTCTTTGGGGAACAGAGGTGGGGTGGGGCCACCAGCATCCCAATTTGGAAAAGAGAGGAGTTTGCCGCCAGCAGCCTGGAAACTGGAAACACTGGTCTCAGCCAACCTCCTCAGGGCGCCCTGGTTTCTCCCCAAGGAGATGAGGAGAGATGAAGCCAGCAACAGGACGAACAGACCACTGGAAGGGCCAGCGTGTGTGTACTTCACGTGCATAAGGGAAGCTTAGATCTTCCAGGGAATTGCAATGTTGTGGCGTCTGACTTGTATGTCACGTTTGTGTAAGATGGCATATTCTTTACAATAGTGTTGATAACTGGAATATTGTATGTATGCTTGGAGATGCTTTGTGTGAACCTGAGACTGTCACTCAACAGATGTTGGATTGGGGAAAATCCAAAGCACAACTTCAAAATAAAACACGTTTTTAGGTTTCGAGGCTGCCGTTCGTATCCCTTCTCCCCTCCCTGAAATCTCCAATCCAGGAGTCCAGCTGCCCAGGAGGGAATTTGATTCGTCTGTGCTGACAGAGCCCTGCCTGGCAACAGGAGAAATGCGTGAGCTCGGGAGCCAACCATCTTCTCCATCCCAGCAAGCACAGCCAGGTGCATCTAGAATGTGGATTCCCGCCCTGCCGTCCCCACCCCACCCAGCCTTTCCATTTAGCCCTAAGAAGTTTTGTAGAAAGCCTCCCAGCTCATCACAGCGCAGTCTGTTGCCATGAGAACCATTTCCTCCCCAGAATCCACCTACCCTGGTTTCAGTGAGGACGGTTCTCCATTCTATCGCTGGTCAGGTTTCCCCACTTGGAGGAGCGGGGCCTGTCAGGTGGCTTGCGGGTTTTGCCAGCCACAACCAAGAGTGACTGAAGGTTGTTGTATTTCTTCCCCGAGCAAAGCCCTGAATCATTCTGACCCTGGATGCCCCCTGCCTCTGGGAGAAGACCCGACCCACATGCTTGTGCTGCTGGTGTTGAGCACAGGGGTAGGGGCATTCTGGAAAAGCTTTCTCCCCTGTAGATTCTGATTCTAGCAGATATCAGCTCAAGGGTGAAGTTATTCAAAGGTAACAATTTAAAATGCATCCTAGGGCCCACACTTACTTTTATTGGACTTATTCCAATACCAGAAGCCCCTGGGGAGGGAGCAAATCTCTCATCCAAGGGGATGCCCAGTGTTCAGGACTCCTACCCTGAGCCCTGGACACTTTCCATCTCTCCGGCCCATCACCTCTGTCTGTCTCATGCCCTTCCAGCCTGTTGTCTCTCCTCCCCACCTCCCTCTTTTTAATAATAGAGCTACATTTGAGCTTATCTTGTTGGTCCCTTGGTCTTAGGTAAGTCAAGGTGAGGCTGTCCTGCCACCCTGTGCTCTGGGTGAGTTCTCCTGAGTGTGGGTGGTGACCTGTGAGATGGAGCTGGTTTATAAGCTGTGAGCGGAGGACCAAGGAGCCTCTTCAGAGAGCCCAAAAGGCAAAGGTGGGCCATTTGGGGTGGTGCCCTAATTCATTTTATATATTCTGATGGGAGCTTGGTGGCAGCTAGTGACCATGAACACAGTTGAAAACAGACCCATTCCACCCAGAGAGACACCAAAAAAAGGAGACCGGGTGGGTATGAATTTAGGAAATGGCCTCAATGATTATCTACTCTAAATTTGGTCTCAATAGGTATATGAAGCTTCTTTTTACTCTGGGGTCAGCAACTCTGGCATATTACATGTGCCAAAGACTCATTCATCAGTCAGTCAACAAACGCTGAGCCTCGCGGTGTGTCAAGCACTGTTGTAAAGTATTGAACCGGAGAAACAGATAATGGAGTTTTCTGTCCAGTTCGAGGGAGAACAGATAAAGAGGCCAAGTGTTACTCCGAAAATGAAACAATGTGATAGGTAGGTAGTGCCTGGCTAAGGAGTAGCACAGCCAATCAAGGTTTCTGCAGGGCCTGGGAGAGTTAGTTGACCGCTCGACACCCAAGTAGAAATATCACACAGACTCCTGAATACGTGAATGTGGGGTTTTAGGGACAGATGATGCCTGCAAAGAAACTTGGGACCTATTTTATTATGGATATACTCAAACTACGAGGTTCCCAGGGAGAGCATGTATATGGAAAAAAAGTAGATCCCAATAATTAGAAACCCAGTAGAGAAGAAGGAGCTGGCAAAGAAGACGGATAGAGGGAGCAAGTGACAGTTCGGTGACTGGGAAAGCACAGTGTCACGGACGCCAAGTGAAGGGCGTGTGTCAACGGGAAGGGAGGCTTGGCTGCCCAAGGCCAGCTGGAGTGGCAGTCGTTCTGCAGTGACCCGGAGCTCATCCCGTAGATGGGACATGGGTCAGAGTAGAGTGGGTTGGGCAGCCACTGGGAAGGGAAGGCGGAGTCAGGAAGTCTTGGCAACTCATGT